TCGAATGAATACCTGTTCATGGCAGAACCAAAAACTGAGTATCATGTTGATTCAGAAGTATAAGGACCCAATGACACTGGTTCAGAAACAACACCCCAAAGATGGGCCAAAGCTCCAAAAGGTGATACTGAACACCAGTTCACCTATAATGAGATTCCCCCATCAAGATAAAGGGACAGAAGCATTGAAATGCAAACATGGTGTAGTTCAGAACTCCAATACTATGATATTGACATAGTAGTTAAAAGATTCATAACCAGGTGGCAAGGTCGCCTTAGAGATTGGTACTTGAGTCTAGGAGAGTATCGTCAACTACAAGTCTAGCAATCTTAGTCTTCCGAAGAACTCATACATAAAATCTATGTTGAGTTTATAGGCAATTCAATCGAGCACACTACCCATGCAAGAGAAGAATTCTTGAAAATGAAGTGTTGTTCATATCAGAAAAATGATCTTGAAAGACATTATGATCGCATGTCAAAAAGATTTTATTGTCTAAATGGACCAGATGATGTGAATCTCAAGCAAGTATTCTTAAACTCCTTACTAGAAACTCTAGCAAACGAATCATTTAGATTCTTAGAGCTGAAAGGAATCACAGTTGCTCAAGCCTCAATAGGAGAACTTTACCAGCTAGTATTTAATACACTCACTAAGCTCTACAATCAGAGAAACTTCTTTTCTGATCTCGAGAAGACTAGCAAAACCCTTCGTACAGCTTTGATGACAAGTATTTACGAATAAAATGCAAAGAAAGTTATTCATGCAATTGTTCCCACAAAAGGAAGATGTCCACTACGGGTGAAAGGAGAAAGTCATTCGTCTCACATAACGGTCGGAACAAAAGATGGAAATTCCTGAAACGGAAACCACTGCGGGGTCGAAACACTGACAGGTGCTATATATGCAACAAAAAGACCACTTTGCAAGAGATTGTAAAGACAAGAGAAAATCTCAAGCATTGATTCAGACACAACCAAATTGAGCCAGTTGACATCTTAGATCTGTAATCTCTCTATTCTCTTGATGATGAACTTAATGACCAGTCATTATGTTCAATTGTCTATTCAGACTCTTTAGATGAAGAGTCTGAAACTGATCTTTCAGAGTACTATCCCGACATCGATGTTTTCATGGTAAAACCTCCCAGTTTTTCAAGTAAGCCACTTTCCTCTTCCACACATTCAAAACTTTGTCCCACATATATTACCCATATAAAAATCACAGCTAGTTCCTTTAGCCAAAGTCCACCTTCTCACCACAACATATGCCAAACCTATCTCGGTTATCGCCTTTTTTGATACTGGGTCTTCTGTTTCAATATTAAATCCTGATATCTTACCCAGTAGCTACTGGAGGCCATATCGCAAACACTTCCTTGCAGCCAATGGGTGATACTTTTGTCATCGACAAAATCCTTATCCCGATGTACATCTGGCTTTTTCCTAAATGTGTGGTTAAACACAGATTATTAGGATCCAGTTCGCATGGCAAGGACCTTCTGATTGGTTTTGACATACTCCAAACACTACCAGGATTGAGGTATGTAGAACAGGGTCTACGCTACAAGAGTTTCCTAAATCCATGGAGCTCTATTCCACGACTCTACATGGCATCGGACATCACTATGGATAGTATCAAACACCAGATTATTCAAACTTATTGCGCCTCCAATCACACATAATTTATGAAGAAAAATGGATCTCCACTATGGTCAAATCCTTCGTTTTGTGTTATGCTCTCATTCAAACAAAACGAAGATGTTAACCCCACAAGAGCAAGTCATCCGGGCATGAATCCAGATCACTACCAGCTTGCAACTCAAGAGTGTTCAGAACTAATAAGCCAAGATCTCATAGAGTCAACCACATCTCCATGGGCATGTGAAGCATTCTACGTCAACAAGAGGAGTAAACAAGTTCATGGCAAGCTTAGGTTAGTCATAAATTATCAACCCCTCAACCAGTTTTTAGCTGATGACAAGTTCCCTCTACCACAGAAGAAGTCACTATTCTAGTCTCTCGCAGATGCAAATGTTGTCAAAATTTGATCTCAGAGCTGGTTTTTGGCAATTAGGATTAAGTCTTGATGACAGACCAAAAACTGCCTTCTGCATCCCAAACCATCACTACCAGTGGAAAATAATGTCGTTCGGTTTAAAAAGTTGCTCCATTTGTCTTCCAAAAGGCAATGATAAGGATTTTTTAACCTAACTCAACAACACTCTCGTATACATAGATGATATCCTTCTGTTCACACCAGACGAAAAATCCCACATAGATTTACTCACCAAGTTTCATTCCATTGTCAAAAAACATGGGATCATGTTATCCAAGAAGAAGATGGAAATCGAAGTAAGTTCTATTGATTTTCTTGGAATGAAAATATCTGACGGACGATACCAACCACAGCCTCACATTGCTCAAGAACTACACAAGTTCCCGGGAATATTGACATCACAAAAAGAAATTCAACAATTTCTTGGGCTGGTAAATTATATGGTAGATTTTTTGCCTAAATTATCGAGCCACACTGTGCATTTATTCCCTATGCTGAAAAAATCCACCCCCTTGTAGTAGGAAACAGACGTTAGCTATAGATAAGATAAAGCAGCTAGTTGATGTGATGCATCCTTTAAAGATTCCTACTGTTTTTGACAAAAAGGTCCTCCAGATGGACGCAAGCGATGAGTACGGGGGGCAATCCTAATAGTTCAAGACAAAACTGGTGTCAGAACAATTTGTGGATACAAAAGCGGCACGTTCAAAGAATCGGAGAAACACTACCACTTTACATTCAAAGAGATCTTAGCTGTCAAAAGAGGAGTAGAAACATTCCAATTCCATCTAATCAGTCACAATTTCCAGATTGAAATGGATGTCTTCCTTCCCACACATGCTCTATTTCAAAAGAAAGATACTCCCAAAAGCCCAACTTTTAAGGTGGGTAAATTGGTTCTCTTAATAGAAATTCACTGTGAAACACATCAAGGGGTTAGAAAATATTCTAGCAGATTTTCTTTCCAGACCAAAGGGATATAAATATGATGTCCTAAAAGACATCCAGATAATCCACAAAGCCAAGGTCCTTCTAATGGTGTTTCCTGTGGAGAAAACAACCTCTTCTAGGTTGTTTATTCCAAACACTTCTCAACCTCCACACTAGGTCGATCTAGCTGAAAGTACCACAACTCTGCCACAAGTCCTACCAGATGAGATTACAAAAACAATCGCTGACCTCACCTTAAGAGAAAGGTCCCAACTGAATTACAAAATGTTCTCCACTATCACACGAAAGAAGCCTGGCATGTTCATGAGAAACCTCCAGTTTCATCCGGATTACTCGTTCCTAAATGTCTTCCATATCCATGACTTACATAGGTTCCCGAAAGAAGCCCTTTGTTTCTTTTGGTATCTATTCGAGTCTCACACCATCGCAATATCATTCTACTTGGCCAAACTACTCAGCTACATTTTCCAATGTTAGTTTGAGAGTCCGCCCCCAGGGGCAAAGAATGTGTTCACCCTTCTCCAGTGGTTCCTCCCAGCGCACACCTGGGGAGAGGAAGAAGCAGATAGAGCAAAGGCCTCCTCTTTCCGTTCGCTCTTCCCGAAGCTCAGTGGATTCAACGGTTAGATGTCTGCTATAAGGTGTATGTTGTGATCATGTTTAGGATGCCCTGTTCTTTTCTACTTCATATAGCTCTTCGACAACAACAATCATTGGTCTATTACTCTCCATTGTCATTCATCCACGAATGGAATGACAACAACCCAGGCAGTTGTACTTCGAGTTATCCTAACCAAGAAAGTATATGGAAACAAGGCGGATTCTAGCCAGTGCTAACTTAGTTGATCTAGATTCAATCCCAAAGCAAATTATGAACAATGAAAACACTCTGGTCTTCCGAATATCCAATCTCTGCATCATGGGACAAAACACTTGAACATTGGTTTCAGACTCATCTCACGAAGAAAATAGACACTTCTGATGAAGAAGACTTCGATGAAGACGACGAGCATTTTGACTCTGGAGAAAAACTACACAATCCTTACAAAGACGATCCATCTCATCCCGACTCTCGTTGGAAGTAATTATCGTAGAATAATATTAGTAATTGTCTCGACTAAAAGACAAAATAATGTTGTAATAATGATGTAAGCTTGAAGTAATTTTCTTGTGATGTAAGCGCTTACCTCATTTAGTTTGTTTTTAGCTTGTATTACTACTTGTTTTTGTCATGCTTATGCAGGGGTACCTTTTCTTTCCCTATAAAAGGAAGGCTTCCCCTCATTTGTAAATTATCCTTTGAAAAGAAATAAAAGTTATATTCTCTCTTGTTCTTAAATTTAAGTTCATGTTCTTCATGATTTCTTTTATCTCATCTCTTAGTTTTAGTCATCTTTTATCAGTTTCCCAGTCTCTTGGGAATCACCCTTTGGTATCTAAGACTCACCCGATAACAAAGGGCATAAGGGGGTCTAGACTCGAACCCAAGGCCAATGGTTGTTTGAGCAAACATTTCCACATCCTTTGAACCAATCAGGCTCAGGGGCAATATTCTATGTGTATTAATTTCCTAGTATTATACAACTACTTATACAAACGATATTTACCAACTATGATTACAAACCAATTGTACTCTTAACACAATTAACAACCAACAATTCCAACCAACATCTAACTAGACAAAAAAAACTTCAACCCACATGTATAATATAAACATATAATAATGCCCTTGCCACTTTAACTGTAATACTCCCACCCGTATCCTTGCATTTTTCCCCCTAAAGTTAGGATCTTCATAGAAATAGTCTCCCTGCCCTGAATACATCAATCCTGAGACCATAGATATAGAGAGCTTGTTTGATTTGGTTTTCAAAAATGGTCGAACTTTCTTTTACCATGGGTTCCAAACAACGCTTTCGTTTTGTGGGAGATGAAGTAGGGTATGCATCGAGTGAGTGATTAGTAAGAAAGGAGTAACAAAAAGATGGATCTAAGGTTGACATTCGTTTTAACATAATTGGTAATAAAGAATGAGTTCCATATCTTTTTCCAACTATGAGTATGAACATCCTCTCACTTTTGGCTTTGAATGTATAAAGTCGAGAACCATTTACTCTTTCCACCAAATCTCGACTTAAGCTCCTGCAGACGAAGGATCGTGTGAGAAGTGAAGTTATAGTAAGAAGCTTAATAAGAGATCTGAACCCTTGATAACTTTTAATCTCATGTTCACCCATGAATTACACTTTAGAAAGGAATTGATCTGGTACATCTTGGTTCACCTCATTGGTGTTGACATTCAATTAGGATTGATCCAAGGGTGGAGATCTCTTTCAACGCTTCTCACCATAACTTCCCTACTCACCATAACTTCCCTTCTCACCGGAACCCAACCCAATTCCTGCATTGCAAAACAATGTCGCTTGGGTTGGTAAAAAAGTAATACCCAGTGTTCTAGATTGCCCAAGGAGCAACAAAACAACCGTATAAAGATGCATAAGCGATTCGTTTAAATATATAAAATGCAATTATTATTTGACAATGTATGCATGAGAATTAATAAGTCTCACACATGATTTTTGTCAAAATTTACCACTTCATTGAGAAAACTCCCCATTTTATTTTTGTAGTATTTTAATTTAACATGGATTTTCTTAATTTTTGTTCCACCTATTTTCTTCCACTCAGTCCTGTCTAGTCTCGGTCTAATGTCATATCAAACATGAGACAACACTTATTTGTTTTGTCATGTCCCGCATACCAAATGCGGGTTGGGTTGTAGTGAGAATTACAATTAAGGTGAGAAGCGTAAGAAGGGATCTCCAACCTTGGATGCACATTAGGATGAGATACACTAAGATGAGATGAACCAAATTAATCCCCGTATCAAGTGTGATTCATGTGTAGGTTTGAGATTAAAGATGATCAAGGGTTCAAATCTCTTCTTACTCTTCTCACCTTTAACTCTTCTTCTCACACGATACTTCGCCTACCAAGTGCACCCTAAAACACTAGTTTTAAAGTAGATAAATAGCAATAACTCTAAACAAGTGCCTCCCTCGAAAGGATCTTATTCTATGAAACATCAATACAAACATAGTATACATGTAGTTTTTAAGTCATTAAAGATTGGTTAGAAGTTGTAGGATACAAGGAAGCATGTAATATGAACCAAACCGAACCAAACTAACCCAAGGATGGGTTCGGGGAGGGGAAGATGTAAAAAGTAGTCATTGTGTCCCTAAGAAACAATGTACTATGAAACGATGAAAATCATCATTCTGTATAGCAAACTACATTACCTTCATAATTATGCAACTGCAACATGAAACCGTGGTTGGGAGCAGCCATGCTTCGTTTACTTTTCACATGGTTTAGAGCTTTAGACAAGCTCATGCGATGCTTCTTCATCAGATAGGCCACAACAATGGTAACACTAGATCAAAAAATATATGCCAATTCAGATGATCATTTAAAATTTGCCCAAAGTGATGCAAATAGCCATATGGGAAATTAAGAAAGCTAAAGAGGTTAAAAGTTGGATCATAACCATCAATATTCAGGTTCTCTTATTACATTTTACAACATATAATGAAAACTTCATACAAAAAGATCATTAACAGATAATGCAAGCAGTCAGGATTATGCTTTTGGTCATATGACATCTAAACGAGAAGGTAATAAGGTTGTGTTCTTTTTTTACTTGTCTTGCTTTAACTTTAAACATCAAACGAACTGTTCTAATATTAAAATATCAAACTACAACCCAAATCTGGTCGAACTTTGACTATTCAAAATCTAAAATCTGTGTGAAATTATTAATAGAAGTATATCTAATTTTAAGAGAGAATCAAAACAGCTAAGGGGCAATTTGGTTGGTTTTCCATTAAGCCCTTATGGATAAAGTTGAATGTGTGGATAGATCTGTCTAAATAGATTTGCAAGGTTTTTGTTTGGGAGGGTTTTTTTATAAATGGAAGGAGCGTGTTGTTTAATTGGGAGGGCAGGTTTGGAGAAAAACTTAGCTTTCTACATAAAGCTCCCCTGTAAGCTTACTAAATAAGCCAATATTTTTATATAATTAAGCCACTAACAAACAGTCATATATAGTTGACCGAATAAGATACGAGCCCCATTAATCTCACTAAGCTGCTAACAAACAGACACTAAATCACAAGAGAATGATAAGCCATTACAAATCCAAAATGAATTGATGTTAAACATGTTGTCCCAAGAAATACAACATTTGATTTAGCACCTTGTTTAATGAAATATCTAAAATGCAAGAGTGCCTATAAGGAACAAGGACTAGCATATGGTGAAACATAGAACGAGAAAAATAAAAAAGAGAAAAAATAACGAGTAGGGGCATTGAGAAATACAAAAAAGTAAGGTATGACAAAACACATAAAGCAAGCAAGGATAAACATGTCCTTAGCGTAAACTATATTAGAACCCTTTACCATATATATTGAGAAGATGAATCATGAAAAATTAAGATGAGAGTTTACAGAAAAATCACCTTCTAGATCTTCCCACAAAGCAATGGACCAACACACCACCCATTCTTTTAGCTTCGTTTATGAAACTGAAACACTCATCGAAGAACTGTGCAATATTTACATCTTCTCGGTCCGATACTAATTTAAACAGCAAAACAAAAACAGAAATAACAAACATTCATGCCATCACTACATACAATAAAATTCAAACCAGAGGTTATTTTTATGGCAGCAACAGGGACAGATAGTTGTATGATAGATTTGAACATACAAGGAAATATTTCACAAACTTTCTTACCATCAACAATTTTGTAAGTGAAATCATTTGGATATGCAGGAGGTAGTGAATTGGCAGCAGTTAAGATGTGAGTAACATTCAAGCTTTTCAAAAGGCTCTTGTTATTGGCAGCTCCAACAGAACCCAAATATAGACCCTAAAAATTAGAGAAAAACCAAAGTTGGAGATGAATAAAACATCAATAATCATGAAGGCCATCAGATACCTTTTCATTCCAGTGCTTGTTACCTCTTCTATTTGGGCTGGAACATTATCGTCTTTAACATACTTGGTTGCATAAATCACTCTCAAAAGTGCAGCAACGCGCTCCTTGTAGAGGTCATCGAATTGATCCATTGCAACAAATCTGAGGCAACTGTCTTCTAACTTTCTACTAGTTAATGGGGTTTCCAGGACCAAATAATTGTTTTGAGATGCTCTTCTAATGGCAGGTTAATGCATCTAATGAAAGCCAATCTGCAGAAGAAGTAAAATAGACATCTGCTGACAGATGGGTGAGAAAGGAAAAAGAGCAAAAAGACAGGAGTTAAACAGACAAGCAATAAGAACAAGCAGTCTTTTATCTCAAACTAGTTTGAACTCCAAGGTAGAAGAACTAGTATGCACTCAACTAACTGAATCATGATGCAACTTAGAACACGGCTCAAAATTTATATTTATATTAGTACGCTTTGCTTATCATCCATGATGCTAATAAATAAATGCAAGGTTCACCAAGAAAATGTCCAGAAAATAAAGGACAGCATAGAAACATTCCAACAGCCAAGAAAATGGTTCAATTGATTCCAAACACATGAACCAATCAAGGAAATTGCAAACTAGTTTGATACATATTTGTTAACAGCTTAATGAGACTCACAATTTATTCGGTCAGCTATACATGGCTGTTTGGTAGTGGTTTAGGGGCCATTTACCAAACGCTTACCCATGTAAGTGCTTTCGAAGTCACATTACCTTACCGGATGAATATGGCAAGAACCAAGAATCTTACCCTGTAACAGGAAAGGCAAGGACCAAGAGTCTTACCCAGTAAATTAACGCAACGACTATTACCATGGTTAGCGCTTATAGGGTAAATTGTTGCACATAATACCGTTTTGGTGAACTAAAATCTTACGCAGTAAGTGATAGTGTTAATTTTGTCGGTAAGCACTTACCTGGCTAAGCGTTTGTTAAACGTCCCCTTAACGATATAGAAAGTGACTACTTCGGTAAGCTTCTACGGAGGCTTTATGCAGAAAGCCAAGTTTTTCCAAGCCTGTCCCTCCCAATTAAAAAACACGCTCCTTCCATCTATGAAAAAACCCTCCCAAACAAAAACCCTTAAAATCTATATGACAGTTTAATCCACACAGTCAACTTTATCCATACAGGAGTTCATGGAAAACCAATTAAATAGCCCTTTATACAATTAGCAGCAGCCGAAAATCAGATGGTAGCACTTAGCAGAAGCGGGTAATCAACATGAAGCAAAACTTAGAAACCAATCAGTGTTGGTGATTTTAGTGTCACCAATTATTTAGTGTAATTGTGATTTATACGAGATTGAAGGCTAACTTCTGATGTTTGCAGAAGCGATCTGAAGGTATTGAGGCTGATTCAAAAGGAAAAAAGTTCAGAAGGGCAACTGATTTTAGAAGGCAAAGTTCAGACGACGTTCAGAAGGCTAACTTTTGAAGTCAAATGTGCCGCTGGTCTGATTTGGGGCAACCATTTTTCATTCATATCTGTTGGTAGTTATTTGGTAACTGTTTTAAAACTAAAATAACTACATTTCCGCCAAGACAACCATCAATTAACTTCTAATTTTAGAAGATCTGATCTTAAAATAAAATATACATGCAAACATAACCAAATCTCGTGTGTTTTACTCTCGGTGAATTAGGATTATCCCAAACTGAACTTCATGTAACTCAACTTCATGTAACTCAAGACTGTGAAAGGGGAGAAATATTACTTTCGAAAAATGTCCACCATATCCATTATTCGATCCAAGTCTATCTCAATTGATACATTACCAAAACCCCAGATTTCTAACAATCAGTAGATACCAGTAGCAGAATTCAGATGCCTGTAGTAGAAATTGGCCAGGTCCAAAAGCATGATCAATAAAGAATAATGAGGTGAGAGATTGGCGAACTAAAAGCATGAACCGTAGGAGTTCTGACTTATTCATGCATTAGAAAAACGATTGCAACTAGTGGCTAACAAATTGAACGAACTGAGTGCTGGCTAGGGTTGTAAATTACAAATCCAAAGCAACACAAACCAGAAAAGATTCAAGAGCCGGAAAAACCCGTCAGGATTGAACTCTCAATTGATATACCAACATGATTCGGGATCTTGATTGCCCTTTTCATCCTATGGCTTTGATCACATACCTATATATCGCCTCTAACAATCACAATGGCAGTTTCAAGACGAAAGTGGTTAACCTTTCCAATTTCGGATACAGTTCATGATCGCAACTTAAAATATAGCAAAGAAACATACAAACCCATAACGGGTTCAACCTCTAATAACTTAATCGATCACTTGATCAATTTATCCATGTACATGCTATAACCAGCAGACAAATAATTCAGATTACCTGCTCCAATCGAGCCGAGTATCGAATGGCGCCCTCGAGGGTGAATTCCTGTTCGAACGCTAATCCTTCTCAAAAAGGAAAACGAGACCAAATTGTTCGTACCTAAGGACCGAAGATGTATGGATGGTTCGGTAGTGCAACTGTAAAGAAATCAGACGCCCTTTCTCTTTCCGGTTAAAAAGCGCTTACCGCTGGAGCATCTCCAACTCCAACACGTTTTCAAAAACAAAGAAAATGGAGTTTTGTTTTGTTTTTTTTTGCTTTTAGAACAGAAAAACATAGAAAAAACTTCAATGATCTATGTGTTAGTTTTTTTATTTATTTTCGTTGATAAGATTAAATTATTATATTAGTAATTAGAGGGTGTTAGTATAATATTACAAGATATATCTTAATTTTAATGTTTCGTTTTATTATTTATTTCTGTCGATATAATACGTTTTTTTAATGGTTTTGAGAAATGAAAAATGTTTTTATTTTTGAATAAAATATAAATTTAAAGATATCATAAAAATTTGAAAGAATATATATATTGAAATTAACATCAAATTTACTGTTTAAAGTTCTTGTTTTTTTTTTTTTGTAATTTCTTTAATTCAATATTTTATTTATAATTTAATTTAAATTT